ATTAAGAGAATTCATGTGTATAGTTTTTTTTAAATTTTTTATTGAGCTGAGGAGGACTGGAAATGTTACAGTGAATCTAGTGTTTTCTTATTTCAGTGCTTGCCTTCATTTGATTTTGAAAGTGATTCAGAATACATATTGTGTATGATCTGATTATATTCATTGTTAACATTAAAAGTTATATGTGAATAAATTGAATATATTCGTTGTGAATAGATAAATTCATTCTGTTTAATGAGTATTTCTTGTGTAGATAGAATATTTAAGAGTTAGCAGTTATTAAATGTGAAATTTAACAAACTAAATGCAAATTAGTAAATTACAAATGCAAATTAGAGAAGTTCACTTTGAATAAAATTATGCATTGGCTATTATTATAGAACATCTTTTTCATATAGACTGAAATAAAAAGTGTTGACTTTTATTTACATATATAAATTGGTGTAAATATTTTTCTCATATTCATAGTTTTATGTAAAGATAGCAGTTGGGCTCAGATGTGTATCACATATTTCTTTTGTCTTATTTATCACTTATAAAGTAATATTTCGCATGAATATTTTTGCGGAATATCTAACATGTGATTGTATTTATTTCAAATTCTTTCAACCAGGTAGTGAAATTTTCACAATTACTTACATTTGATCTAGCTTCGCAATGAAAATTTTCAGAAGAAATAGACTATGTACAGAAAATTGCGTGGCAAAATATTTTCAACCATCTTGCTTAAATCTTAAAGCGTGCGAAAGGTCATGTGACATCACAGAAATATTACTGGATGCTCATTGGTCCATCCTAGAAGCCACTCCCTCGGTGGCTACACAGATATGCACTTGTGAAATATGCTGACCGTGGGCTCCTGAGGTCAGCTTGTTGCAAGACCCTCGATGTTTAGTCTCCAAGCGAGCTCGGTACTCATCTTATCGACCCACTCAAGGGATGAAAGGTTAAGTCAATATTGCCCAGGCCGCGGCTCAAACCCCAGACCTGTAGTGCTCTAGCTACTGATGCTACTGATGCAACGCGCTAGCCACTGATGCTAACCTTTACTCTTTCTATTTTCAGTCGAGTTTTCGAGACACGGAGAGTCAAAGAATTGCGCCCATCCGACATCGTGAGCAGACTTAGCATTGAGCATATTAAATATTATATGTTTTATATTATATGATACATAAATGTTGTTACATGTTCTGTCTTTTTCACAAAGCTTTATGTATGGTTAGGGTTTCCACCTTCCAGTTAGTCCATTCACCCATCTTTGACGTCATTTATGTTAGGCGGAAAGTGTCCCTCATTGACAGGAAAGGACTTAATATTGTTCAACGCAGTACTGAATTGAATAACCAACAAAGTTTTTCCGGTTTTGTTACTTTTCATCATGAAAACAGTGACCTACATAGTGTAATTCCTTCTGTAAAACGCAATGAGAATTTTGAGCATAAACCCATGATTTTTTAAGATTTAATAAATCCTAATGGATACTTGAATGATGTGAGCTTATGTTCCTCTGCGGGGTGTTTATTCTGAACTGTTCCACACATTGGCTGAAACTTTAAAGTAGTTCTTATAAAATTTACCCTTTTATTTTTAATAAAAAATGCTATTCTACAATTGTATTGCTTTAATACTGAATAAAATAGCTTTATTAGTCACCTTCCTCAAATCTTGTATATTACAAAATGCTTAAAGAATGTTTCTGAAACATTTTCTAGAAACACTCGGCGAACTGCTATTTACCTACAGTTATAAACAGAGAATTTCATTGAGGGCGTTATCTATAATATTTATTGCCAAGTCAAACTGCTCGCATACAAAAACCGTTCTATCTTAGTAGCTTCAACCTTTAGCATCCAAATCTGGACGTCCTTCACTGTGTCGTCCAAATCAGTTCCGCAATGTCGCTGGAGTGTGACTTGGCTTCTCGTCGAACCCTATGATTACTGCCAAAGTACCATACTAATTCTATCCCCGAAATATAACTCTAATTTCTAATTCAGAGCCAGACTTTCGAGTTATCAATCAGCAGAGAGGCCGCTTCAATCCGACTAATCTACTATTGCAATACGGAATTGGTACGCCTCATTTAATGAAAGGTTTTATGACTGATGAATTGTCACCGAGCGTGACTGCGATCGACAGTCCTGGGTATGCAACATCGACACGTATGAACAATTCATCAAAGAGGATGTATTTTGCCCTCATATGACCGTGTTTCTTCGAAAACTGATTATATGGTGAATGTGATCTATGGTTTGTTAATATTTCAGATTGTCATGCAGAATGCTTGATACCTTTCAAATAAACGCTTTTTGCTGGTATATTACAAAAGAACCCATACCATTTTATGCTATACATATATTGGAATATGTCTGTGATATGAATCTGAGTAACTATAACTTTTTTAGCTCTAATGGTTGAATTTAATTCTTGAACGCATTAATTCCCTTACTAAGAGCCATGCAACGTTTATTCAAATATAACAATTTAAAAAGAAAAACGATTTTGATATTTTAAAGGCTATAGGTACAAAAATTCAGTACTATGTGTTAAAATACATCACAAATGTGGAATTATCTACCAACACCAAACATGCCGCGTAAGTACAAATTTTTCATATCTTAGATGCTAAGAGTCATTACGTTTATCTCATGCAAAGTTTAGATGTTGCTAAATAAATAAATATTTTCTGCCATTTTCCATTATCATGTCTATATATCATATTTCATTATTATTCTGAGATAGACGCCCTCTTTTACCGACCTTTTATTTAGCCATCGTCTCACCTGATCTAGAGCGATTTCTATATAAATAATTTTAATAAGTAAATGTACAATAGAATTAACACAGTCCTGTTTCTTTTAAAACGAGAAGAAAATTCCTACTATAAGATAAAAATGCCTTTATTTTGCCAATTCTTAGGAATTTTCTTAATTAATGTGTTATATGGTAATTTAAAGCGGTAAACTCAGGCTAATGTAGTTAATAAGAGGAAATATTTTAAATTAAGGAAAGGGATTAGAATAATGAAACAAAAATAGATTATTATAAAAATTGCATGTTGGTGTAGACTCACTTCATTAAATGCTTTTTGTACTATAAGCATCTTAATTTTAAGATTGTACGAATTATATGAAGGGTAAACAGAATGAATGCTCTCAACAATTCTAAGGACACAAGAAAAACAGGTACAGAGAAGCTTTCTGCTTCCCGATTGGGCACTGTATTACAGAAATATCAGAAAAAATTATATTACTATACTTTAGGTTATTCAGCTTTTGATGAAGAAAAATATGGATGCGAATCAGAAGTCAGTTTTCAAATAATATCCAAAATCATTATTTAATGTTAATAATGCAACATCATCTGACTTGCTTATTCCATATTCAAGCAGGCTAGGGTGTTACTGACTTAAGTACGTTAACTGTAATGCCACGGATGATCGACTCTTGTGATTTTTTTCGAATAGATGCATATCCCACTATTGATGTAAGATGTGCGTATCATAATATTCTAGCGTATTGACATAGCCTTATATCATACTAATACCCGCTGCCTAAAGGCGCATCAATGTCTTTCAAATGTAAAAAGGAAAGTTTTATGTGATCAAATCTTCAGGATACGGATTACATATATTTTATTTTAGTGTGTGTGTTTAAATGATATACATTACATAGCTATTCACGTTGCTTTTCTCAAAGATTACTTAGCCGACTGTTTTAATCTCTGTAACTTGGAGCCCAACTGAAAAGTGGAAAGCACTTCTTTAAGTAGCTATACAAGAGGAAATATCCAATATATTTACTGTACGATCAAGTCTATCCGTGCTTCATTCATTATATACATATATATGTTGAGAAATGTCAAATAAATATATATACCAACAGAAAAAACTACAACTTTTCTGCATAAATTTTTATTGTATTTTTTTCTGATTAATTTTTTCTAAACAAATTAGTTTCTTCAAATTTTGACTTATTTTATCCTTTTATTTTATAATAGTTGCTTTTGACTTGTAACATTTCTATGATTTCTGCTTTTTCTTTGGTTCAAAATTTAATTAGTATTTATCTAGCACATACCTTTAGATTTACTCAATAATTATTCTGCTTTCTTTCTCGAAAATTAAATTAATATTTGTTTAGTAAATTGTCTAATGTTTATTCGAGCTTCGTAGTTGAGATTTCTTGTTATAATCTTTTATAAATATTTATAATTCTTAATTTTGAATCACGTCAGAGCGAGTTATATCTTGATGATTAATTAAGTTACAAGAAAATTTAAAACCACTTTAGTGCATTTTTAATACACTTCGATTATTTTAATTTTAAATAAATTATCTTAATTAGAATTTTCTTTTAATATTCATTTTGAAATTTTTCCAGTATCAATAATCATCTAGATAAAATTCAGAGAGGTGACTCTATGGAAAATTCTTCGGCTGTTCCTTGAACAATACTAAGGGGTTTTCAACAGTTTTTATACATTTTATTTGTTTTATTAATTTTGTTGAACTGTTAAGTTTCAATTTTGAAATACTTTTGTTTAAATTTGATATGTGTATTTCTTGCTAGAAGTAAATTTTGATTTGAGTACTATCTATTATATGCATTAGTTAATAATTTAGTAATAATTTAATAATTTATGCATATATATATATATATGTGTGTGTGTGTGTGTGTGTGTGCATAAATTATTATTATTAGATTATCTTACAGATTATCTCATTTATTTGTTACTTAAGGAACTGTAAATAAATTTATGAATTTATTTACAGTTCCTTAAGTAATTAAAAATCAGTTAATTATGCGTTTGCTGTAATTTTCATTTGATAAAATGTTTCGAGAACCTAATGCAAACATGCAAACACACTTTAGTTTAAAGCCGATTTAATCTTTCCATTCTTAAATATCTCTCTTGAAAGTTATGTCTAAATTATTTTGCTTATGGAAAGTCTTAGTTGATACAAAAATTAATATTGTGCATTATCTCATTTTTTCCAGGAGGTCTTAGAGTCTATCTGAAACCTGAAGGTTTCCTATTTGGGGAATTTCTTCCTGATTGGGAAAAATGGGGAAATCAAGGAAATCAATGGCTTCGAGGAAATCTATCCATTCCTGAGTTTAAGGAAAATTTTCAAGTAAGTTTATATTAATTCTTTATTAGCAACGACTATATATAACCAAAAAGTAATGCTGAGTAAAAGGTGAAATCTTGGCAAGATTTGTGGAACAATGCTCCACAAATCTTGCCAAGACGCACATATAACTTGATGCTCAATGTAAGCTTAGCATCTCTGAACTCGAATCCTTCCCTAAATTACTTTATAACAGGACATGGACCCTTCCCCACATATTTCTACGCAAGACATTTGGCAAATTCTGATATCTGTATACGTGGGGAACAGGGAACTCCTGATTACTACGTATTCTTATGCCCCTTAACTGAGGATATTCACATAAAATCCCCAAGAACTGACCTCCTGGCATTCCAAAGGTTTTTAATTAAAGATAAACATCAATATCCAAAGTTTCAGAAAATTATGCAACGAACTCTCCTCCTACGGCCTAGATCTCTGTCAAGTGTAAGTCCATATACAGGTGAAACTTAGTGAACTTTTACATGCTGTGATTATGGACAAAATGGATCCGCTCGTGAACTTTATAAACTGCAATAAACCAATATATCTGAAATAACCCATGGACACCTACCTCTTTAGCATTATAATAATAATTCATTTAACATTGTGTTGCCAGTACTAATTATAATTATCTCATTATGTTTATTTGTTTATTAATTATGTTTATCTCCTATTTTTGTTGCACCAAATCAGATGTTCAATTTATCTTGTGAATCTCAAATTGTATTCCTACTATTTTGTAATCTACTTATGCCCTACACCATTATTTTTAATAAATACTGGATGCGGCGCGTACTGTGGAATTGCACGATGTACCATAATAGGCAAACTTTAGACCTTTTGAAAAGGTCCAGTCTATGCAAAATCTTATAAAACTTGCAATTACCCCCCCTTTTTTTAAAAGAGTTAGTATGGGAAGGCATTACCAGTTGACCTATGGTACATCGCTGGTGTCCCCCATACTTTTACCTTTACCTGCACTGATACATCCTGTATAACGTAATTATAATAACGCATCAGTGCATTGCTGTTGTAAACAAAATAAATAATAGTATTTATTTGATGAATTGTATCATACTATACCAATATTATTGTGTAAACTTATGTGAATTAGATATTTGCCATTTTTGTATCTGCATCGAACAGCTTTAAATTTATTAAGAACCCTGAGGAAACAGCTCCACTTTAACCAAAAGAATAGCCCATGTATTGTCTCATTCTAGCCTCTTTCAGCTTAACACTCATGATAGAATGCTTTAGCCGCAGGGATGACCTAATCAATATTGCCCTTTCCTACAAAACAAGTTTCGTACGTGCCTGTAGGGCGAGTGATTGCATTTTGAATGCTGCGAAGGGTTTAAAAAGACTGGTAAGCATCGTTTTCCAAATAGATCACTTGCTCTATCGATATTCATTAACTGCTGCAACAGCAAAGTAAGCATACCGAATTCTTATCTTATGGACAAAATACTGCTGTTGCATTTCATTAGAATGTTTTAACACTAATTAAATTTGTTGAAAAAATGTCAAGAGGATTTCGTTTTCTAATAATCCCTGTTGTCACAATGCTATGCTTGACAATATGTTTGAAACATGCTGGGTTTTTAAACGTCTTTCCTATTCATTGGACTCTATGAGATTACTTTTTTATTTTTCATGATCAAAACATTATAATCAAATTAAAAGCTTATATTCAGCGAAGTAAATTTTGCCTAAGAAGTTATTGCATTCTTGATTTCCTCACTAACAAGCATTCTACCATTTTTAATCGTATAATGCATGAATTAGTTCGAACAAATGAAGAAATGTTGATTTGTTAGAGGGGAGGCAAAAATATCTGCGGATATTTGCGGTCGAAGGTATTAAAGGACGTTTTAAGAAACACATGCTGATGTTCAAGTTACACAAGGACAAATTTAAGAAGTTCATTCGATTGATGGAAATTGGGCACGCTGAGCAAACTACTAGCGTTCAGTAATCCTATCCCTTCGACAACTAGTGAGCTCAAAATACGCAAACTAAAACAATTTACTACTTTTGTTCATTAAGCCCTTTATTTCAAGTTTGGCTCATTTTTTAACACTGTTAAATGCCAATAGATAAGCTAAATAAATTATAACCACTAAAATGATTAGCATAAATGTCTGTCAAAACAGCCATTTTTTTCAATCATTTCAGATTTTAAAAATTTTCAGTCAAATTAAAATTAGTAGTAATTTGTATGAGCTCGTAAATTTAATTAAAAGTTATCTTGGATCCTCATTGAGGTATTAAAATAATACTCTTTAAGATTATCTTTACTTTAATGATTGGTTTATTCGCTGACTTTATCATGGATTTGTAGAATGATACTTAATGCATTCTGAAATTTATGCTACGATTTCCTATATCTGTGTTCACTTAAAATTACGTTTCTCATTAGGACATCAAAATTAAGTCTGCTTTATTAACCGCTCGTTATAAAGGAAAAGTAACGAATATTTATGTATAATGAAGAAATCAACGCATATATTCCTGTTATTTGCGTGAGGTTACCCTGCGTTAAACCTCAATGATAACCGAAACAGTACATGAAATGCAATATAATAGTGACGTATTGTATAACAGAGCAGATTCTGACATTATTTTGTAAGAAAGAAATTATCCGTAATTAAATTATCAAACATTAATTTCAATATGCTAGTAGGTGAAAAGAATTAAATTGCTCTTATGCAATCTTCTCATTTTAGAAAATGAGGCTTATATCATGTTTCTTACAATAATTACTTACTGAAATGAATTTATGAAGCACAAATCCATTTTGATGGTGACATTATTTTCTTTCTTCTCAATCCGGAGAATCAGACAAATTCAGAGCCCTCTTAAAAACTCAGTTTTAAAGAAACTAACAAAAGTTTTCTAACAAATATTTTAGATATTAGTTTCTAAAGAGCGTAACTTAAAATTCATGAAAAAAAACGTAAATTAGAAAATGCTATATATGTCTATTTGGAATATATATGTTTGCATAATAAAAAATATGCAACTATAGATTTTAATTTAAATTAGTAATATTCCCTTAATTCCTCTTTTTAATTTGGATATTTCCTCTCTCTATTCTGCAAATAGTCTTTATCTGAGCAGCACCATTGAAACTCTAACTTGTATTGTTGTCATCCGCGTTGCGTAAGGTCAATCACCTGTTGGTCAATCACCGTTCAAAACATAAACAAAGCACTTCGATCTTATAAACAGGTGCTGCTGAAGTGCGCATTTGCTTTTTTTTTTTTTTTTTTTTTTTTCGCTTTTGCTTTCGCTATTCTATGTCTATTTACTTAGCTGTACATAATTTATTGTTTCACAAGGCGAATTATTATATGTAGATTTGTAGAGTGTTTATTGCACCTGCAGTGATATAAAAATCAAGAATAAATGCCCTAAGAAATTAATGATGAAATATGTATCAAGGATACGTATCTCCAAGTCTATTATTCAGAGTAAACAAGTGTTTAAATTTATCTTTCAACATCAGTATATGTATCAAATAATTTACACATATATATATAGATATAGGTATTGATATACTATGTAGAAATATGTATAGGTATATATATATATATAGAGAGAGAGAGAGGTACAAATATGTATAGATAAACAGATATAGATACATAGATATAGTCCCTAAATTCGGGCAGCAGTTATTAACAGTCCTTCAATATTAATGTTCTGTGTAATATTCTGAACTCACTTCAGCATACACATCCCTGCTTTTTATACAATAAATATTTTAAGACACATCAACTTCAACTTGCATTAAAACATTCCCTGTAAATAAAATAATTGTTCTGTGTTTTGTTGATTATTAATTATTTAATACTAATAGAAACGAACAAAATTACTTTTTCCGATACATTAGTTCTAAATATATTGTTCTAAAATTTTATTAGGAAGGCTTATTTTATTTAAAGTACGCTAGTTTAAGAACAATGTGAATGTTAGACAACTTTTTCAAGGGCTAAAAGTAGTTTTCATGCGTGAGAAATTTCTTTTCACATGTAACCTGATTAAAATGCTAAAATCCAAAGGGAATGTCTTTTTTTTTAAACAAAAGTTTATAAAGCCCTATTAAGACATAAATAAAATTCTATTTTTATATCCCATATTTTTAATTCCCACATTGCTTCATTTCCAGTATTTTACATCTTCAAATTTGTAAAATGGAAATAGGAATATTTTGAAGAATTAAATGATTTTATTTAGATTAAAAATATAATTTTTACATGATCATATTCACCTCATTTCCCCTCGTTCACTACTGAAAATTGCTTCTTATGCTGAGCTTTTCAAGTGTGCGTCAGCAGGCTGCCCAAGCTAATTATAGACCTGTAAATCGAAACCTTTTCCCAGAAAAACATGTCAAGCACGATTTCCATTCATGATCTATACCTATGAGCTAAGTCATTTAATTATTAATTTTCATTTCCGAAGTAAAAATCAGAACTGGTTTTTCATTTCTTCGATATTTAAAGGAATTTTCTTAAATTGTACGAATAAAAGCTAAACACCACAAAAATCTCTCGCAATCTGCAAATTTACCTGACTTTCTACGATATATAAAGTTTAAAGTTACAATGCATATCAGCAATGGAAGAAAATTCTTCGATGTCATACTGTACAGTTTTTATTTATTTAAATTAAATTGGGATGGTAATATTTTTAGCATAACAGTGAATTGTACTCTATTGCATAATTTCTTAGTATTTGTACTCATGCAGAATAAAAACTGCAAGTAGCAAATAATAAGTTCTTGAAATTAACAATACGTTTCTATTTATGAAATACTCAATTAATTAATGGAGTTAGTTAACTCAGTATCATCCCAAAGTGTTCTTTAGATAATTTCTAGGAATGACACATATTTTGTCTTAAGAAACGCATACCCTTAGGTAGACTCTATTATTAGTCCAAAGGGGCTTTGTCTCTCAAGGACTATTGCTTTCGTTTTGGCATTTTGCGTTGAA